CCCAACTCCTACCCCCGCCTCCCCTCCTGCCTTACCCTAAACCGCACCCCAACTCCTAACCCCACCTCCTCTCCTGCCTAACCCTAAACCGCACCCTAACTCCTAACCCCACCTCCTCTCCTGCCTAACCCTAAACCGCACCCCAACTCCTAACCCCACCTCCTCTCCTGCCTAACCCTAAACTGCACCCCAACTCCTAACCCACCTCCACTGTACCCCATGGCAGACGCAGCTGCAGCTCCACCCTCACCTCCTTCTCCGAGCTGGAGGAGCCAGAGGATCAAGACCTCCCACACGTGGGGGGTGCCGGCACATCGGACACCATGGAGGTGGGTGGGCTACGGACTGAGTGTGGGGGAGTGGGGGGGACACATTGCTAGACCTAATTTTTAGAGATGGCTTTCTGAAGAGATAAAAAATGTGAAATTGCAACTTACCACCATTCTCCCTGGAGACGTGTGCCAGATTCACTGCCAGATCAGTCATGTAACTCCCTGTCACATCGCTGCCACTAAGAGGGCATTTTATTATGGAATTACACAGCTCTCTTCGACGGGGGGCTGCTGCGCCTCGCAGGTCATCTGTGCTCCCTCCTAAATATGGACCTGTATGGTTTCCTTTCGCGGCTTGAGGGAATTTCCTTTGGATGCATGTATTCTGCAGGCTGGCTCGCCGTTTGGTCACAGAGAGCTTGTTACTCAGGAACAGATTCACTGTAGCTGAGATTAAGCACCAAATTAGACCAATTTACTACTACCTGGAGGTTCATAGTAACAGCACATATTCCAGAATGTTCTCCAAAGGGAAGATAAACCTTCGCATACACTGTATATTCGGCAGAATAATAAAGGACGGTAACATTCATTTGCTTCAAAATGCAATGACAGGACATTTTGGTTTGTGTAAAATGTTGTGAGATTGATCTTTATTCGAGCAGTGAATTGTCCCCCTGGCTCCCCCCTCCACACCCCATCCATAAATTAGAGGAACTGTGCCTGGTGCCTGTACTGGGACTGGCAGCAAACTGCTGAAGGATGTTTGTAGTAGCTTAGCAGCGAGATCTGACCAAAAATAACACTGTGCTCTTTTTTACAGTTTCTGTTAATGCTGTTGATTTTTTTGTATTCAAGCACTTCAGCTCAAGTGTGTCACTCAAGGGTAGTAATTACCAGTCGGTCAAGGGACTCCCCCTGGTTTTCGAAATCGATTGCGGGAGTTACCCCCCACCCCCCTTTTTGACTCAGTAGCTCCACAGATTAATTTCTTTGTAAACGTAGCTCTCACTGTATGGGTATGTGCTTTAGGATATGAGGGTATGCGCTCTAGGGTTTGGGGGTATGTGCTCTAGGGTATGAGGGTATGTGCTCTAAGGTTTGAGGGTATATGCTCTCAGGTTTGAGGGTATGCGCTCTAGGGTTTGGGGGTATGTGCTCTAGGGTATGAGGGTATGTACAGTACGGTATGAGGGTATATGCTCTCAGGTTTGAGGGTATGTGCTTTAGGGTATGAGGGTATGTACTGTACGGTATGAGGGTATATGCTCTCAGGTTTGATGGTATGTGCTCTTGGGTTTGAGGGTATGTGCTTTAGGGTATGAGAGTATGTGCTCTACGGTTTGAGGGTATATGCTTTATTGTATGAGGGTATATACTGTACGGTATGAGGGTATATGCTCTCAGGTTTGAGGGTATGTGCTCTTGGGTTTGAGGGTATGTGCTCTCAGGTTTGAGGGTATGTGCTCTATGGTATGAGGGTATATACTCTAGGGTTTGAGGGTATGAAGGGTTCTTCAAATCTGGACCTCGATTCCAAATCTAGGCCTCTTTTTCAGTTCTCCCAGGTAGTTTAATAACTACTGATTCTGATTGGGCACTGAGGATTCAAACCCGGGTCACGGGTAAAGGAAGGCTGGAAAATCAGCAGTGCCCAGACCTTGAAGACCGTGACTTGAATAGCTCTGCTCTAGGGTATGACATGCCTTCAGGGACCCCAAAACCTACAAAGATCTGGACTCTGGGTTCAAATCCTAACCCACTGCGCCTCCTACTGAAAGTGAACGAGAGTGTGTGCTCTTATGCCCTCTCCACTGCACTGCGCACCACGATGAGCGCCTCACCCTGGTAGCACGAAGCACAGAGCCGCCCGGCCCGTATGTCTCTCCAGCCGTCTGCCGAGTGTCCCGGGCCTCGGGGACACGTCTAATTGCGAGTATCTCCCCAGAATAGGGCAGGGCCCTCCAGTGAGTCAAAACCAAGAATCCAGCACATGGTTATATAAAGGGAAAGGTCATGTACTCTGGCAGCTTAAAAAGAACAATTAGATTATAACTCATCAGTATATTCATCTCCCTGAGCATCATTACGACCCATTCAAAGGCAGAAATAATTTCCCTCTTGCATAACTTGCCACACATGCACCGGTGTGAGTGACATCATTTAATCGTTGACTAAATGCCGCTTCGGGTCACGTGTCTGGAGTGACTAGAATATCTTTTGTTTCGTGACAAATGCGCTTGATTTTCTTTTTTGTGTCTGTCAGCCGATCCACTTTATCCAGAACCTAAAGCCCTTTCTCTTTTCCAACTGAAGTAAAGCTGAATAAGATCGACCTGTTAATCAGGTTTTAATGAGAATGTTTTGCTTAGCATTGAATCCCAGCACCGAACCGGCAAAAGTGCTACACCATCCCTTTAAATTAGCTAACCCCCCCCCCCCCACCACCACCACCACCACTCTTCCAGTCATAGCCATGATGTTTAGATGGAAGGGGTTAGGAGCCTGGGCTTCCTGTTTTTTGTTTGCAGTTTATTAATACAACACGGTTTTATGAATTGCATAAAGAAAAACACTCGATTGATTTTGAGGTGGTAGGTGGTTGACGTACTTTACTAGAGTGCTGCAGGTTGTCCCTGCAGTTACAGGCAGAATTGTTAGAACTCTTGAGCAAGGTGCTTGAACTGAATTGGTTCAGTTCGTTCTCCAAACACAGCTGAATGTACGAAATAATTTTGAGCACTGTCAAAGTGAGCTTGAGATAAAAATATCTTCCAAGCAAACAACTTGATGTCAAAAACATGCCTTTTTTGGACAAATATCTCAGCCCTTGAATCACATTGAAAAATAATTTCATTTATTTTGTTGTGGGTCACTTAAAAAGAGCTGTGTTTTCAGCTGGCCATTCACAAAGAACAAAAGAACATTTTTTATTCCAACAGTAAAATTTAATAAAACATATGTTCTTAATTGGAAGCCCTTCCTTTGTAATTGATTGGTCATCCAGGTGCAAATCCCCAGACAAACCCCCAAAACACTTGGCTAAGTACTTCACCCTTTAAAATGACACTTGTACTGCACTCACTGTATTCTTCACGCGACGGACAGAAGGTGTGTGTGTGTCTGTGCTTTTTTGCTGATGCACCTACGTCTCCTGCTTTTGGAATGTGTGGTGCTGCACTTACTGCCACGATAGTGAGGACACAGCTGACATCTTGCACTTTCTTTTCTGGCATCTGTACCCACCTGGGATCTGAGCTCCCAGCCATAGAAGGAGCAGCGGGGGATCAGGGTAGCCGGTGTCAAAACTGGAGTGTGGCAAGGAGTACAAGGCGCGCACTTTTCCCTTATTTTGCTGCGGGTTTGCTTCGATATGGAGAACATAAGCACTGCGATCAGACACCTCGGCACGGCCGAATGATCAGCGATGGGGTGGGTTGCTGTCACCATATCCAGCGAATCAGCCCCTTCTTTTGGAGGAACTATAGTCCGGGAAGATATTTGCTTTACATTTCCTGGGCTCAGGGGTGCGTCTTTGGGCATTATGCTCACATCAAGCACATTCTTGTTCTTCTTGGGGCAGTATGACATTACAGTAAAACGTTCAGAGAGAATCAATTTTGAAGAATTAATAGGTTCTGCAGGATATTAGACCCTTAAGCCACTTCCAGTACTACTCACATCCACTGATTTTTTTTCCAGCTAGACATGGGATTTTCTCATATAGCTAAGGTGGTTCTTCCCCATTTCCACTGTGTTCCATAGAGATACTACTCTAATTGATTTATCTAATGACCTATAACTGATAACACAAAACCTGTAGCCTATATAGCTGGTAGTCATTCCAATCAAGTGAGTTCCACGTCTCCATTGCCTTCCCATAGAGTTAGGTGTGCAGTGTAACCTTCTGTATTGCTTGATGTGTAAAGTTTGTTAATATACTGATCCTGCTTCTGGATCTGATTGACTGTGAGCCTTGTGCAACGTGATTTATTGTGCAGCGATTAATATATATACTTCTTTTAATTTATTTTCAGCAGTGTTGCATTCGAGTCCACCTCGGTCGAGTCCGAGTCAGTAACGTATTTGTGACAAATTGAGTCAGAGTCCAACCTGGGGAGTCCAAGACGAAGCTCCACTACTGTAGTTGGGTAGCCGAGTCCGAGTTCAGAAGTTGAATTCCAGACCATGAATCTGAATTTAAAAACCATAGATTAAAAACCATAGATCTAAACAATTTATTTGAAGTCATTTATAAGTATTTTTTTAAGAATTAGAAATAATCCACTGCTTCCTGTAGTAATGATTAATTTTACTGTAATGTAACTGTTGTGATCGCTGTCCGACAAGCAGGCAGGATGCGGGGAAATGATCAAGCGGGCAGACGATGGTCCAAGAATACGGGCTTATTCCAGACGGGCAGGACAACACGGTTACTAACACTAATGACGGATCTAGGGATACTGCCACAGACGCAGACTAAATACAGAAGAAAAGCCAGGATTCACAGGAAACAGGTGCACACAATCGGGGTAGTACACGTACTGTAGGTCATGAGGGGCGTGGCACACACGAGGATCGTACGAGCCGGGCGTGACAGTAACGTCCTGTTGAACACATTTACAGTTGGTTCTGAAACTCAATAATATGTTAGAAACAATACAAAGTTCCATTATAAGGCTTTAATAAACATACACACAATGTACCCTGAAGGTAAAGTGCACACAGAACCACGTAACACAATATATGATTTCACTCTCCACACTACAAAAACAACTTATTGCTTTTCAGAAATACAAAGACTGTGAAACATTTTATGCCTTAAATGTGCATGATGGGGTGTGATTATGATGGTGTCACATCATTTTTACAACTACCTTACTGGAAGCTACAACGAACAGGCGTAACATCATTGATTTTAAAATGTGCCCCAATAACGTAACTTAAGTACGTATATAACAATGTGTAGCTAGCTAATGTTTAATGTGTTTAGTGTTTAGTGAGTGACCCGGCATAAGGCTCCTCTGTCTGAAAAATTGCTGGTTTGATTCCACTCCCTGCAGATCAGTCACACCACCGTTAGGCTCTTGGAGGAGGAGCCAGAGACAATTGTTGTACATAGTAGTTGAACATAGTTGTTGGACATAGTTGTTGAACATAGTTGTTGAACACAGTTGTTGGACATAGTTGTTGAACATAGTTGTTGAATGTTTGTAGGGGCATTAAGCTACATACGGACTGCACGCCTGTTATTGGCTTGGCTAGAAGATTTTTTGGGTCGCGTGTGTTCAAGTCTGAATCAAAATTGAGTAAAAATTCACCTAAGTGCGTGACAACTCTGATTTTCATTTTAAGATAAAATGCCATTTTTGAGTTATGAATCAATTAAAAAGAGGTAATTACTGAAAGATATTGAAAAAGTTGTTGCTTAGATATATCACTGCATAGGTATATTTTTATTCTATTCAATGAAGACCGTAAGCAAATCCATTCCGCATGTCGTCCGTAGCAGAGGAAAGGAACTGGCTGACTGATAGTACATCCATCCATGGAACCCTGGCCAATGTGCAGGTTTCAAAGCGAAAATGCTTATTATGGCAACAGACACAGAGTGAAGTCTGAGCTCCGGGAGACGGTGTGATCTTCACAGCCCCTCCGAACGTGACTCATGGTCCCTGTGAGTCATCCAAGGCTCCGGCTTGGGAAGCACGGAGTGAGCTTGTAATTGTCATTCATATTCCAATCGCAGAGCTGGGTAATTGCTTCGTAATGAAAGGTTTAAAGGTTTTTTTCTGTTAATTATATTAATAGATGTAAAAGTGAAGCTATTCAACTTTCCACTTCCAAGCCTTCCCTCCAAAGGCTGTGACACTTTGATATACACCATCACGTACTTCTCGTGAGCATACAGTACTGTGAAAAAGTCTTGGGCAGACAAAAGGAATGTTTAAAGCTATTTATCTCGGTTGTAAGTGTATATCTGCTCAGAACAAAAAAAAATGCAATTCAACATTAGAACATGCAAATTAAGAGTAACATACAGGGATTTCTTCTGTTCTCCAGAACGTCACTGATATCTTGCTGGATGGCTAGAGAAACCTTAGTTATTCTCTGTATTTGTTGCATTCTACCACCAACTCATAATTAATTTACTTTTTTTTTAAAGTCAATGAGGTATTGATTAGCCATATGAGGTGGGGTAGGGGTTGAGTCAAAAATTCATGGGTGTGCTGGATGTGTCCTGCGAATGCCGAGGTGTCTTTAGGAGAGGTTTGGAAATGGCTAAGCTGACACATTTTCAAACATAATAACATAGTTTTACATGAAGATGATATAAACGCCATTTTCTTTGACTGCCTAAGACTTCTGCACAATACACCTTCATGAGAAATTGCTACAACTTTGTAACAAATATTTTTTTGCAACATTTGGTGTTTAAAGCATTCAATGTAACAGACACCATACATACCTTATGAAATGGACGGCACAAAAAACAGAAAAATAGTCATGTTTTTTTACTTCCAAGAGTATAGTGGTATTGTTTGGAGACTATACCATACTATATACCACATACACACACAGAAGTTTACTGCAAATGTTTTATCAACCAACTTTTAGTACTATAGTTAGTGTCATACCTTTCTGAAAGGGCGTAGTCCTTGCTTTCTTCAGAATGGATTATTGGAGGTGCCCTCAGGTGCCGGTCACCCGTTTAGCGTGAATCAGGGCTCACAGGCTCTCTTGATGTGTTGCCAGCTGTGAGTATATTTCGGCCTACACTGGTCGTGTCTCTGCTCGCCCCGGGCAGTTCTGTGTGGCCCTCCTTCTACTCTGAGAAGCTGCTGCCGTACAGAACAGCGTGGCCTGTTTACATGCTGGGCTCGCGACCTTGGACAGATGATCGCTCTGGGGAAATAAGTGGTAATAACTGCACATGGACCATGTTCTCCACATTTTGGCTTCTCAGGGAACGGCGGCAGAAGACAGGAGCGGAGAGGAGAATGCTGGCAGCGGTAAGAGGTCCTGTGTTCTGTTTAACACCCTTAGCCAGACTGGGTTTACCCTGGAGCATCCAGCCATCCACCCACCTTCTGTTCTGGGATCTGGAGGGCCTGTAACCTCTCCCAGTCAGCACAGGCCACAAGCCTGGGGCCCACCCTGGCCTGTGTGCCAGTTACCCAGCACCATTCTATTTAATTATCATAATTACACTCAGTCTTCATTAGGCTCAGAAGCTGGACAGATAAATAATTAAGTGCATTTCCTACACATTCATCAAGTTCATTTAAACTTAATCTAATAAATATTTTGTCTGGAAATGTTTATATTAAAAATGCTATCCAAGTAAATTTTGTGTTGTTTCTCTTTGGCATCTCTTGGCAACACCTGCAAAGGATTTCAGGAGTCAACAGCAGCCATTTCTCTCTTCATTGTGTGGGAGCCACGTGTTTTGGCTTGGTCCAGATTATCGGGTCTTAGGGGGCAGGAATCCATCTCATTTGCATCCCCATGCCGATGGACATGTTGGCATTCGTTTCTGAGTGTTTCATACGGAACCCCCTCATTCCCCATCCCCTGTTCTGATGTAGTTCCCGCAGATCCAGAACGCCACGATTCTTCATCTACAGCAGAAAAGTCCAAGTGGACCAAGGGGATGAATCCAGTGGAGGCCACACTGCAGGAGACCTGGCTTGATCTGGATGACTTCGTCAAGTGCTTCCAGTAAGTCGGGTGCTGTAGTCAGTGACACCCCAGACTGCCATCGCAGTACAGGTGGTATGCCATTGTTTTGTTATGTGGGTAACACTTCACATTAAGGGACACAAGTAACTCAGTAAAAATAAAATAAAAGTAACTCAGTAACTATTCAAGTACAATCCACAAGCAAATATAGTAACGGCATGGAATACATGAACCATTATGATCGACTAATGATCGAACTTGACATCAGAATTTAACTAGCACTTAGTTTCTGGTTAATTAATGCATTAAGTAAGAGTGTACTACTACATTATTTGTGCCCCCTCAAGTGTTACTGTTATGTGAGTAAATCTCTTTCTCTGTGTACCGTTTAGGATACTCCTGGTTTTTCATAAGCCTGACACATACACTAATTGCTACCAGAAGTCCAGTTTTAAGGTAAAGGATTCAGTCAATCACACATTGTTTTATGAAGTGTCCGGTAAGTTTAGTAAAGCTTCAGTCTAGCAGGCTAGTCAGAGTTACCAGTATTAACTTGGAACTTTTATATACTAGACAGAGCAAAAGAGCACAGAGAAGAATGACATGCAGTGACATAGACTGTTAGCAATGGGCATAAAGTAGAGAAAATGAAAGCTGAGGCCGGCTGGGGCGCTCGCTGCCCTGCAGAGATTTCACATTCTGTAAGATCCTGCCGTATTGTTCAGATTTATTATTGATTAGGTGATAGCAGCCTGGGTTCCTCTAAGCAGCTTCAGGGAGGCCGCCAACGTGCTGCGTGCACCACAAACTGACCCACAATGGTTTTGTCTCCATCAGAGCACCTCTGCCTCCAAGGCACCGTCTACAAGCCTGTCGACGGCCAGCGCTCAAGCCGTGCCCGTCAAACCGCAGGCGGCGTCTTGGGTAACTACATGCACGCCGGAATACTTGAGACACGGCCTTGCAAATGAATGATTACTGGTGATCCACTAGGTCTTGGCATTGAATGGTCATTCATATGCAACGGCAAGATGAGAACCGCTTGTTTTACATAATTTATAAAATCTGTGTGTATTGTATTAACATTTTTATTTTAATAGTGGCCAATGCTTGTTTGTGCAATAGAAAAGCGCTCTACATTTGTTTCCTGTGAAATTGTAAATGCGATTGGCCGGAGTTCAGTCCCAGGCACAGCTTCACGGATGCCTTTTGGCCGTGACAGCCATCTGTCACTTCCCCTGCTCCACCCACATCACTTCAAACGCTCGGTATGAAAGGCCAGCCCAGTGCGTGACACACGTAATGGTGTCAGTCAGCAGATGACAAGGGGATCCTCTTCCTGCTCGTGGACAGTCTGCTGCCTTCCCAAATCTTGATAAGCTTCTCGTCGCTGGCCCACTGGGGCGGGACCCCAGATGAAAGTAAGGGAGCGTTTGGGTAAATGTATTGCATTTACAAATCTAGTAGCAGTCTAGGGCACAAACTCTGCCTTATGGAATAGTGAAAGACTATTTGGTAAATATTTTGGGCAGTCTGAGTTACAAAGTGATAACACTGCTTTGAACCTTCAGTGAAGACTAATAACGGTCCATTCAGCTTTAGATTAGTTCCAGTGCATTATGGGAAAATACTCTAAATGTTTTGCTAATATTTGGAAGATCTTAAAAAACCCTTCCTCAGGCCATGGTATTAGCTGTTATTTTGCTTGGCAAACTTGGTAACATCACTCCATGATGTTTTATTTTCTGGAAAGCAGCAATTACAAGGGCATATTATCTGAAAATATCAGGGTTTTCTCTTCTTTCTTTCATCCCCCCTCACTCCCCTCTTAACATTCCCCTTCAGGGAAGTACGCTTCATGTCAGCCTGGGCTCCTGCTGGCCAGGCCGTTCTCCTGGAAGACCGTACAGTTTCAGCTGCCTGTCCTGAACATCCAGACAACATCCACCAAGGCAGCCCTGTTATCCCTTCCGCCTGGGTAAATGTCACACGCGGCAGGTCATCCTTCTCACCATTCTGATTTGCTGATTGGTCCTCTTGTGACAGTTTAGTGATTGTTTGCCCTCGTATCGATTTTGATTGGCCCCTCGTGTCGGTTTGGTGATTGGTCCCCGAGTGTCGGTTTGGTGATTGATTGGTTATCTCGTGTCTGCTGCTTCCCTCATGTCCGTTTGGTGATTGGTCCCCTCGTGTCATTTCAGTGATTGGTTCCCTCATGTCGGTTTGGTGATTGGTCCCCTCGTGTTGGTTTGGTGATTGGTTCCATTTTGACACTTTGGTGATTGGTTCCCTCATGTCAGTTTGGTGATTGGTCCCCTCGTAATCGGTTTGGTGATTGGTTCCCTCATGTCAGTTTGGTGATTGGTCCCCTCGTAATCAGTTTGGTGATTGATTGGTCTTCTCGTGTCAGTTTGGTGGACTGGTTCCCTCATGTCCATGTGGTGATTGGTTCCCTCATGTCGGTTTGGTGATTGGTCCCCTCGTGTTGGTTTGGTGATTGGTTCCCTTTTGACACTTTGGTGATTGGTTCCCTTGTGTCGGTTTGGTGATTGGTTCCCTCATGTCAGTTTGGTGATTGGCCCCCTTGTGTCAGTTTGGTGATTGGTCCCCTCGTAATCAGTTTGGTGATTGGTTCCCTCATGTCAGTTTGGTGATTGGTCCCCACGTGTCGGTTTGGTGATTGGCCCCCTTCTGTCGGTTTAGTGATTGCCCCCCTCCTGTCGGTTTGGTGATTGGTCCCCTCATAATCGGTTTGGTGATTGGTTCCCTCATGTCGGTTTGGTGATTGGTTCCCTCATGTCGGTTTGGTGATTGGTCCCCACGTGTCGGTTTGGTGATTAGCCCCCTCCTGTCGGTTTGGTGATAGGTACCATGTTGACAGTTTGGTGATTGGTTCCCTCATGTTGGTATGGTGATCGGTCCCCTTGTGTAGGATTGGTGATTGGTCCACTTTTGATGGTTTGGTAATTGGGCTCCTTGTGTTGGTCCGGTGATTGTATCCCTTTGTTTTGTTTTGGTGATTATTCTTCTTGCGCCAGACTGATTTTTTTTTTCTTCTTGTATGGTTAGATAAGTGGTCCCCTCCTATCTGCTTGGTGAATGGTCTACTGTTTTCAGTCAGGACACTTGTCTGTCATTCATTTTAACCCAGTGTGCGTTCTCTGCTCTGATTCTGTGGCACACTCGGTATGAAGAGAAGTTGCTGAGAGACCCATGCTTTTCGTTTCCCTCAGCCTGTCACAATTGCTCTGCCTCTGCTGCAAGCTTGTTCCTATCAAAGGCAGCACTTGCAGTGCATGTTGGGAATTGTTTTTGGCAATCAAAGGACTTACGGTGAAACAGGCAGTTTCCTTTTTCAGGGACAAACCAAGCGATATAAAAGAGCAGCTGCATTGTGCTGAGGCAGAACCATATTAACGCTGTTCTCTGCCTTTCCCTCTTTCTGTCTGATCTTTTATATGATGAAAAAGGTTCAATTAAGCTGAAGCACTTCGATCAAAGGTTCAACGGCAGACCCACCCAGAATCTGTCTCCATTTTCAAGTTCCGATCTCCCATCTGCCTTGTCACATCTCATGCGTTGAACACTTATTTAGAAAAGAGGGCTGCGATCGCGTCGGAGATGAAAGCAGCGACGGATCTGGCTTTTATCCCAGCGCGAGCGAGTTTGATTAAATAGTTTGACAGGTATTGATTTCCATTTTTCCTGCTAAAATGCAGAACGAAGCACTAAACGGTTATAAAAGGCTGACCTGTCGAACTGTGCGCCGATTCAAAGCCGTTAGAACGTGTGACAGCTGGCCGTCTATAAATGGATCTGTGTCCTAGAAGAAGGAAGCCTAGATTCCGAGGTCAGGCAGAAGATACATGCCTACAATTACGCAGAGTAATGAATAGAGTTCAGCGTGGTGGGTGCCGTTCCCCCCCCCACGTCCCTGAGCACGCCAATCAGCCAGTTCCCTGGAAATCTTTCACTTAGCCTTTTGTTTCCTGGTGTTTATTGTAGCATTTTTGGCCCCTAATCAGATTGTCTGTGCTCTCGCCATTGTAGGCCATCGCTTTAGTTCGCTTACATCCGCCAGTCGCCCGCAGCGGCCTTGGTCCAACCTCGGCACGCAGGGCCACAGCTCCGAGTAACGGGGCTCTAAGTGACAGCCGTGATGTGGCTCACATGTGGCCGTCATGCCCTTCTGCATGTGACCCATGACTGCCTCGTCCCCCTGTTAGGCGCCGGGTGCTGCGTCTGACCATCCAGGCTCCTCTGGCCTATCATGTCACCCTGTGCAGCGCGGCGCCGTTCCTGTGCGAAGACGAGGATGCCGTCATGGCACACCTGAGCAAGGTGAGCGACCCAAAGTCCCACACGCTCTGTTTGTCCGTAGCAGGCACCTGTCCATGCACTCCTACTCTCCTTTTATAGATTTCGGCCATTGCACAAGGATATCCACAAAGTAAACAATAATTTGTGGCTACAAATGAATGGAACCAGTTATAATTAAATATGTATCTTGTAAGCTTTTGTCCTCTTGTGGACAGCGTCGATTTATCCGCAGCCCGAGGTAAACAGGAAAGGTGAATGGGATGAGGGATTTTTCCAGTGCCGGCCTGTCTGTCATCTCCACTCCCCCACACAGGACAGCGTTCGGTTCAGGGAGCAGGCTGCACTGGTCCTGGGGGCCCTGAGCAGAGCGGTGAGCGTGTTTAGCAATGCAAGTGAGCTTCCGGCCACCATGAAGGAGCTGGGCTTGGCCTGCCGGCCTCCGCTGCTGCAGGGAGGGGGCTGCGGGGAGCATGCCCAGGTGAGGCCAGGGGCGGGTACAGGGGCGGGGGATCCCCAGGGCCTCCACACGACATGCCAGCGCTGGGCTGCAGGACAGTGTCGTCTTCCCAGGTGTTTAGCGACGCAGTTTTCCACATGGTGACCGTAGCGCTGAACCGGAAGCTGACCGCAGAGGAGGCGTTTGCTCTCCAGGCCCTGCTTAGGGACCCCTCGGCTGGGACTGGTTTCCTGGAGCACAGTGCATGTAATTAATGCGACGAGGCGCTAATTCTCTTTATTTGTGTAGCAGATCTATCGATCTGTCTTTCTCTCTGTCTGTCTAACTTTCTGTCTTCTAACTATCTTTTTATGGCTTTCATTTTTCATACAAACTTCTCACACACGTATGAGTCATTGAAAGGTTACATTCAGTGTAACTTTAAGTAGAGTAATTTTCTTAAGCGTACGACAGCTCCTGGGACTTGGGGATTCTGGGAGATTTTCGAAGCTCATGCTGTTGTGCTCCACATAGCCTCTGGTGTAGAGATCCCAGAGCCGTGGAGGAGCAGAGAGGCCACAGCGAAGGAGACGGCGGCCGCCAGCGTCCTGCAAGCCGGCTGGAAGGGGCTGCACGTGCGGGAGGTCATTCGTGCCTCCCGGCCAGGTCTGTAGGGGCGGCCGGCACCCTGACTGCGGCCATGCGGCCATGCGGCCATGCGGCCATGCGTTCCTCTGATGCAGCGACACCATGTGGTCACTGTAGGGGTGTGGCAGTAGCATGGGCTCCCAACCTTGCTGCCGGCGTTAATCAGGGCAACCAGCCCAGAGCTCACAGAAAACATGTTTTGTTTTTTTTTGCTTAATGTGTTACGAAAAGTCATGCTGAGCATTGGTCACCTGCAGTTCCATGGGCTGAGACACACAGCCGCCCTCACAGGCTCCGTCAGGGTGAGTTCAGGGTGAACGCTCATGGCGCAGCCCAGGCAATACATCATCTAATATCCCCCCCAACCCACCCACCCAGCCTTCATAAAAACGTCGCAGTCGCGCCATCAGCACCCCCAAGGTCTGGCATGGTTGCTCCAACCCTCCAGCCTCTGGCATATCGATCACCCGCGCCACCGTCTCTCGATGACGCCGATGAATCCTGGCAGGTGAGGCGGAGGGGAACCGGGGAGAAACCTCGCAGCCACCCCCCCCCCCAACTCACGCTATTTCCAGCCGGTCTGCCAGGACGTCTGGGGGTGCAGCTATTTCTGACCCAGGCCCGGGGCTGCCAGAGCGTCCTGGACCCATCACATCAGCAGGGTCTAAGTTCAGACGCACTGGCCCCCAGCACCCGGGTCTCAAACCCACCACCCCTCCCCATTCTAATGTTGTTTTTGTTCTGGACGCGGTGAAATGAGGCGTAACATTGAACCGAGCAGATGACCTCGGCAGCACGACAGTGAGTGGAATTTAACCATCAATAGCATCATTTAATGATTGGTGAAGCTTGAAATTATGGCAGAATTTAGTTCAGGACTGCGTCGTAAATGCTGGTATATACTCACCCACCCTCCGTCTAACCGCTTATCCTGGTTAGTAGGGTAAACACTGGTATATAGCAGCTTGACAATTGTAATTCTAAATAGATATTTATAGCCACAATAGAGCTAAAATGTTCCCACAAAAAAAAAATCACACTTAGGACTGTTTCATATGAAGCAAATGGGCACCTCAGTCAGAACCACAGAATGGTCTGGCTGTACCTGCGGTCCAACACAGCCTCTGCGGGACAGTGAGCCATCAGCTCTGACTCACCGATCACGCATGTCTGATGGTGTGTTCTGGTAAAATCTCAGTGTTGAGTGGTTTAGACGGTGATGCGCATTCTCTGCCGTGTGCGATTCGAAGGTATGGCGGAGAATGCTGGCATTTCGAAGACGCTGCGTGACATCTGGGCTCTCGTGGAATCGGACGGGGAGAAGCACGCCGCGTCGTTGCTGAGGTATTTTTAGAGCCGCCATCACGAGCGCCGTATCCAGACCGTTCGCCGCCGCCACTAAGCGTGGGAGTCACGTCGGCCAGCGGCCGCACGTCTAGCCAGCCCCTGCCGCTGCTGGCCGCCATCATCCTTCGCACGCAAGAATGACCCAACACCTCGAAGGCATCACGCGTCGGTACTTCATGCAGAATCAAAGAGAAAAAAGCAAATATAAATGTGCAGAGTCCTTAGCCTTATCCTGTCAGCCGTGAACACAGCAGGCCTGTCTGTGCCTCACTTTTAATCTGCACTGTGATTTGTATATTTACACACACAACCAATCCTAAACTTGCCTTCCTTCATTTTCTGTCTGTGTATTTCCACACATACAGTAACCCCAAGCATCTCAGCACATCCCTTCATATCAGTGCAGCCCTTGGGGGCGGGGGGGGGGGTGTTGTAAAAGGGTTGACCAGTAACCCCAGTAGAGCGAGGTGAGCGTGACTCACTCCCCTTTTGCCTTCTCTCCATCAGGCACATTTTCAGCAGCAGCGAGAAGATGGCGGTGCTCTACCCATGTTACGAGGACGAGCCGAGCCGCGTTCTATTCACCGAATACTCTGTAGCTGTTCCGGAGCAGCCCGCTCACTCCTGGGGCCTCGTCTTCCGGTAGGATGCTTTCCCATCGCCAGCGCTGTGGGTGCACTGGGTGCTTGCTCTTTGTTCCCAGCATCAGGGCTGAGGGAATGACGTTCCTCGCCCTCTCCGTGCTCGGTTGGTTGTTTCGGGGGCCTCACTCAAAACCACCCCCCCCCCCACGCCCATTAGTGTAGCAACTGTTTCATGGGCAGCAGGGGGCCCCACGCAGATGAATCATGTGAGTGGTGGTAAACACTGCCGTCGCCTCTGTGAATCTCCACAGAGAGGTGTTTTTTGTCCACGCGGACGTGCTGCTGGAGCCGAAGATGTACGCGCCCTTCGCGGCCTGCGTCCTGCACGTCATCGACAATGACTCCGGCGACGAGGTGCCTCGGGTCTTTCAGGAGGTGGAGCCTCACGTCTACAGGCCAAACCAGGTCTGCCCCTTTCCCGTCTCCTGACTCACCCAGTCCGCCCCCGTTGCCCCTCTCGTCCCTGCGGGGACCCCTCAGGACAGCACTGTGATGTGTCATGATCAAGTTTCACCTTTGAACAGAAGAGGAAGCACGCAATGTGTGTGTGCGTGTGCGTGTTTGCACGAGAGCTAAGCTCTGGGTCCCCTTACCTCAGAGGGGGTACACCTTTGTGGCTGAAGCCCAGTTCGGGGATACGCCCCCTGCTGCTGGGAGGTGGAGAATGCGACTGATCCGGTCATGTGACCCGCCTGCCAAGCTCAACAGGGACACGCCGCTCTGCAGCTTTGCCACCAAGGAGTTCAGGGACTATTACATTCCTGATGACAGGAATATAATATGCAGGTAAGGTCCGCGAGGACCGCGAGGGACAATGACAGGGCCACGTTCCCCGTGTCTGTCACGACAGGCTCCCGCTGTACCTCTCTGGCCAGATTTTCGGTGAAGGTGACGAGGGATCACGTCGGCACGGTTCAGGTCCAGATGACGGAGCCTGACATCTACGTGAAGCTGACGGTCCTGGACTGCGAGGAGGAGGTGGCCAGCGCCACAGGGAGGGCCCAGGCCATTGTCCCCGTCTTCCGCTTTTTACCCAACGAGCCCCCTAAGCGTGAGTCAGCCCAGCCGCCGGTGACGCGATCCACGCCGCGATGACGGGCGATGTCTGGCGCGTTCTCCTGTTTACCAGAGTGTCACTCTGGGTGTGACACTGCCACATGCCCAGTGTGTCCCGTGCCTCAAGCGTCAGCTCTGAAGTTCTGGCTGCTCCAGACTTGACACCCTCTGAGTCCCAAAACTCTCTGACACTTTCCCCTTCACGGCAGGCTCTCGTCACTGTCAGAGTGACGGGGGCATTTGGACTTTCGCCTCGAAATAGCGTAGCTCCCCGTCTGTGATGTGACATGTGGCCACTTCTCGTTTTTTGTGATTCTGCTTGATAGCGCCCCCTGGAGGCCAGGGCAGCTCGGTCGTCAGTCAGAGTGGCGGGCCGCTGACAGCCGCATCCCGCGGCCTTGGGGAGGATGTGGCGTCCAGTCAGCTCCCGACCGCTGACAACCAGCTGACCCAGCCAATGGTACGAAACCTGTCAGCACACCCGCCCTATCAGACTTCGCCTCCTTTAGGACATGGTTAGTTGTGCTGCTGATGGCGAAGACACCAGAAATATATGAAAATTAACTAAGGAATGTGCCGCTCTGGTCAGTTAGCATGGTTAGCACGCCACCATAGTTCATGTTCTAAGTTTAAGGTCAACTGGGGGTGTGGCTTCACTGCTCACCACCAGAGTGTGACGTTCCCTGGTTTCCATCCCGTCTGTTTGGGTCAGCAAGCTGCCGGCCACACAACTCAACACAGTACTGAGGGTGTCCCTAGCGGTCTTCATTCCCTCCTCTTGTGTGCCACGGTTAAATGTATCTGCTGTCTCAGGTAAGCAAATAAAGATAAATGAAAAGACTGTTGGCTGCAGCAAGTGCAGGGAGCCTTTCCCCACGCAGCGAAAGCAGAAACTGCGTCGCAGCCAGGCGTCTCACATCTTTCCGCTTCTCTGGCAGATGACATCGCAAACGTGTATTATTGTCCTGATCTTCTGTGCTCGGGATTTTTTTTTCCCGGAATGCATAGCTTTTCCACAGGTTACGCGCCCGAACACGCTCACGCATGTCTCTGTTCTGTTCCAGCCAAAGCTGCTCTGGTGAAATCACCCGTTCAGCAATGCAGCAGCATCTCGCTTTCAAGGATCTGAAGTCCAGCCTTTACCTGCACTGCGCCTGCTGCCTTTAGGGCCTCCAGACAGATATAGATCGATATAAATTAAATATGCGCATTTAGCAGTCAGGCATTCGTATGTGCTTGAAACTGACAGGCTGTATTTCACCTTTTTTGTGCTGGTCAGCAGTAAATGAAATATTGGCTGCGATGATCTGCCAGTATTGGTCCTCTTTAATGGTAGTGCACGTGTGTGAGTCGTATAGTCCTGTATAAGGAGCGTCAGAGTGCAGGCCCAGTCAGGGTTATGCTTGGGGGCATAGCAAGGAATTCTGAGCCCCCTGATAACATGTCATCTTACGCACCCTCACTAGATTTTGCCAGTGGAGGTGGGTTAGGGGACGCCAAGGTAGATTGGGAAAAACATGCCTGTTTCCTCTCCCGGTGACGGCCCGGGTTAATGTGCATGACGGGGCGGACGGCTCTGCTGATCCTACTCTGTTTGGTCTCCGCTTCCCAGAGTCACAAGTACATCATCCAGGCAGAGGTGCTGCATAAAAGCAGGTCACAGTACGAGAAGGCGGTGGCTTCACAAGAGAAGGACTGGACGACAGGTATGGAGAGCGCCGCCCACTCAGCCTGTCACATGGTGTCTTGGCCCCGCCTCCACGATTCGCGTCGCGGCTAAGGCTTAGCGAGGCCTCACGCCCGATGACCCTCTCCATAACGAAAGCCTTGTAAAACTGGCACTTTGCGCTCGTGTAATGTGGGTATTAAACATGGAACCAAAGACGGCTGGAAGATAAATACAGAAAACAATAACACAAATTAAAAACTACAGCCAGGGGGTGTGCAGGAAATGATCGCGTAAGTACACAATGGTAACCAAAATATAAACTGAAGATTATGAGCATGACAATGGAAAAAATGAAAAATGGAAGCAGGCAGGGGAGAGAAAGGATAAATGGCACTTTTAACAAGACAGTGTTTTTCTGCTGGATAATTGCAGGATTTGAGCGAAAGAACATACCCCTGCCCACTGAGTCATGAGTCTAAACATATTTCTTAGAAATTAGAATTGAAAATATTTGGACGTGTGGTTTAAGTTACTTTCCAGGAGAACCGTTTGACCATTAACTCAGTCAGTATCTGACTGCTCTGCACGGGCAGTAGCGCTTTAGATTCAGGACCTTATGGCTCCGGGTCTGATCCCTTATCATTAATTTCTTCTTTATATATTCATATAATTTCTTTAAAAACATTGAGCAGTAATTATAATAATACGAACTTCAGCCTAATTCACCATTAGCTCATATTAAATGTCATATCAGTTGCAGACCTGCCCCGTAACCCGTGACATTATTAAATAAAAAAAAAAAAAGAAAACTAACTCCCCATTGGTGGAAAGTGGTTGCCTGCGCTTCATTTTCCAACGAGCCGCCAAATCTGGGTCAATAAAGAGTCAAATGAGGCTGGCTCCTGTCCCCTTAGTGCCCCGGGAATTATTTCGGAAGGAGCTGAAATCAATATGCTTTTAATTGAAAGGGCCTCGGAGGCGCGGCAGAGGCCGGTGACGCTCACTTGGCGCGGCACGGCGGGGGGGGAGGGGGGGCGGCTTCCGCGGGCAGAGCTGAGCTGCGGCCTCTCGCCACCACACAGCGGCAGCCGCCATCGCCAGTCACGGCCTTACCCAGCTCACCGGCCCCTAAGCATGTGTTTCAGCCTGAAATGCTGGTCACTACGGCGACGGGTTTTCCTGTATAGATGACCAGCCCCAAAAATTATATATGTAACTTAGACGTCTGTATGCAAATATTGTCATGCGTGCAATCAGAGATCATGCATTTCTAAATTGACTTTTTTTTAAAAGTCACACTTTCTAAAACCAAACATATATATGCTTCAGACATTTATTATCCATATTAATATGATTTAACATTTGTTAGCTTAATAGGTTCCTTCACGGCTCACCTTCGTAAACATTAGGGGCCAGATTTACTAAGCAGGGCTAATTAGTGTGAGGCAGCAACCAAAAAACAACTAAAACAAAAGCACCGGTAGCAGTGGCCAGTTCTGTAGGTGATCTACTAAAAAGGCACAAATATATGAAGCCAGGCGCAGTTTGTTTGCTTAAATAATGACCGAGCCGATCTACCAAGAGCAGCGCAGAATACGACACGCCTTTTTGCTTGGTTCATTTAAATACTGTCCTCCCTCGTATGTCGTGCTTTGAAAGGGAACTCCCACAAATGCACATGCAATATGGCCAGTCGCAAAATTAACTGTCAGCGCCTCCCCAATGCTAGCTATTCACTATGTGTCCCTAGTAAATCCCGACAGTACTATGTTAACGCCAAAAGAGTAAATCTGGCCCTAAGTATTTTACAATGATGTCGTAGTGAGATGTAAGCAGGCTCCTGCATCAGGAGAACCTGCTTTGGTATCTACACAGAGCAACAGTGCCACCTAGTACAGCAACGCGTGGAAGCCGTTCACATATTGTGGTTGTACTCAGTGGATTGGGTCAGTATTGCCCTATACAGACAGCCGGTTCCTGATTTATGAGGAGATAATACATCATCGGTTAGTGTAGCTTTGTCATGTGACTGTGGCAGCTCACTCAGAGAGTTTGCAAGTGCGGAGGGACACACATACTCAGCCGAAGCGCTGCTTATTACAGCCATTGTGGAGAAGCAGGAGGAGCAGGTGGCGGCAGCGAGCACGGAGACGGCGAGCGGCGAGGGGCAGAAGGCCAGCACTCCCAGATCCAGCCGCAGGACCAAGGAGAAGGAGAAGAGCAAGGCCGCTCCGAAGGCAGGTCTCAGGCAGGGCAGCCAGGTCAGTCTCTGCGGACGCAGACGCACAGCGCACAGTGATCGCCGCGTCCCCGCTCACCACCAGGCGAGGGCGTAACGTCGCAAGGGCCCTTTGAACCGCCACACATCTGGCCGATCGTCACCTCCTCTGTGAGAAGCTAATGAAGGGCAAAGTTAAGACTGATGCATTAAAACCTGTTTTTTGTGTCTCCTATTTGTATGACTCCTATGCTAATACTCTGGATGTCTTCTTCACAGCAAAGCATCTAAATAGCTGTGAAAAAAATGCTCAGTTATATGGTGAATCCATAGGTGCAGGCTGATTCACTGACAGGTGACATATGCAGGCTGAGCTACATGCTTAGCTAGTTAATAAGCTCATGTGGCTTCAGCAAACCATCACCAATCAGTTACAGAATTTACTTGGTTTATTCCACCTGAACCCCCCCCCCCATTTACTCTCTTGGCATCTCCCACAGTTACCGAAATTATATCTCTAGCTATAGGTGATGGTTTCCACAGTGAAGGTCCTGACCGCTTTCCTCAAAAGACCTGAACCGAATGGGTGGGCTCTCTTTGTTGTGCCGCTGCCCACGGCAGATCCTGGACGTGAGCAGGCCCCAGTGGAGCCTCCGCTTTGTGAGCGATCAGAGCGAGGCCGACTCCGTCCAGGTCAGCAAGGACACGGGGAGAGCGGACGAGATCAAGGCCATGAAGAAAGCGTGGGAGGCGGTGGACCCGGGCCGGTCCCTCAAGGTGCCCCACCATGCCTGTTCTTAACACGTTGGTGCCTGTGTCTTACTGACCGCACCACATCCTGCTATCAGCCGCCTCCTCCGGGCCTTTCCATTTACACGCCTTACTGGATATGTGTCACACTGCTGTGCTGTGTTCTGGTTCCAGGCACAGCAAGTCCGTCTTCAGTTCATCAGCAAACACTTGGGCCGGGGGGAGGCTGGAGAGACTGTGGATGAGGAGGCCGGTGCAGAAGGTGTGGAAAAAGAGTCTGTTAATAATCTGTTACTGTCAGGGTTTTAATTGTTAGGCTACCATGTCTCCAAGTACACCAATAGGAAATATAAAATAAACGTGCAGTACTGAGCACAAGTCTTAGGCAGTCAAAGAAAATGTTTAAGGCTGTTTATCTGGGTAGTACGTGNCCGTGCTCGGTTGGTTGTTTCGGGGGCCTCACTCAAAACCCCCCCCCCCCCCACGCCCATTAGTGTAGCAACTGTTTCATGGGCAGCAGGGGGCCCCACGCAGATGAATCATGTGAGTGGTGGTAAACACTGCCGTCGCCTCTGTGAATCTCCACAGAGAGGTGTTTTTTGTCCACGCGGACGTGCTGCTGGAGCCGAAGATGTACGCGCCCTTCGCGGCCTGCGTCCTGCACGTCATCGACAATGACTCCGGCGACGAGGTGCCTCGGGTCTTTCAGGAGGTGGAGCCTCACGTCTACAGGCCAAACCAGGTCTGCCCCTTTCCCGTCTCCTGACTCACCCAGTCCGCCCCCGTTGCCCCTCTCGTCCCTGCGGGGACCCCTCAGGACAGCACTGTGATGTGTCATGATCGAGTTTCACCTTTGAACAGAAGAGGGAGCACGCAATGTGTGTGTGCGTGTGCGTGTTTGCACGAGAGCTAAGCTCTGGGTCCCCTTACCTCAGAGGGGGTACACCTTTGTGGCTGAAGCCCAGTTCGGGGATACGCCCCCTGCTGCTGGGAGGTGGAGAATGCGACTGATCCGGTCATGTGACCCGCCTGCCAAGCTCAACAGGGACACGCCGCTCTGCAGCTTTGCCACCAAGGAGTTCAGGGACTATTACATTCCTGATGACAGGAATATAATATGCAGGTAAGGTCCGCGAGGACCGCGAGGGACAATGACAGGGCCACGTTCCCCGTGTCTGTCACGACAGGCTCCCGCTGTACCTCTCTGGCCAGATTTTCGGTGAAGGTGACGAGGGATCACGTTGGCACGGTTCAGGTCCAGGTGACGGAGCCTGACATCTACGTGAAGCTGACGGTCCTGGACTGCGAGGAGGAGGTGGCCAGCGCCACAGGGAGGGCCCTGGCCATTGTCCCCGTCTTCCGCTTTTTACCCAACGAGCCCCCTAAGCGTGAGTCAGCCCAGCCGCCGGTGACGCGATCCACGCCGCGATGACGGGCGATGTCTGGCGCGTTCTCCTGTTTACCAGAGTGTCACTCTGGGTGTGACACTGCCACATGCCCAGTGTGTCCCGTGCCTCAAGCGTCAGCTCTGAAGTTCTGGCTGCTCCAGACTTGACACCCTCTGAGTCCCAAAACTCTCTGACACTTTCCCCTTCACGGCAGGCTCTCGTCACTGTCAGAGTGACGGGGGCATTTGGACTTTCGCCTCGAAATAGCGTAGCTCCCCGTCTGTGATGTGACATGTGGCCACTTCTCGTTTTTTGTGATTCTGCTTGATAGCGCCCCCTGGAGGCCAGGGCAGCTCGGTCGTCAGTCAGAGTGGCGGGCCGCTGACAGCCGCATCCCGCGGCCTTGGGGAGGATGTGGCGTCCAGTCAGCTCCCGACCGCTGACAACCAGCTGACCCAGCCAATGGTACGAAACCTGTCAGCACACCCGCCCTATCAGACTTCGCCTCCTTTAGGACATGGTTAGTTGTGCTGCTGATGGCGAAGACACCAGAAATATATGAAAATTAACTAAGGAATGTGCCGCTCTGGTCAGTTAGCATGGTTAGCACGCCACCATAGTTCATGTTCTAAGTTTAAGGTCAACTGGGGGTGTGGCTTCACTGCTCACCACCAGAGTGTGACGTTCCCTGGTTTCCATCCCGTCTGTTTGGGTCAGCAAGCTGCCGGCCACACAACTCAACACAGTACTGAGGGTGTCCCTAGCGGTCTTCATTCCCTCCTCTTGTGTGCCACGGTTAAATGTATCTGCTGTCTCAGGTAAGCAAATAAAGATAAATGAAAAGACTGTTGGCTGCAGCAAGTGCAGGGAGCCTTTCCCCACGCAGCGAAAGCAGAAACTGCGTCGCAGCCAGGCGTCTCACATCTTTCCGCTTCTCTGGCAGATGACATCGCAAACGTGTATTATTGTCCTGATCTTCTGTGCTCGGGATTTTTTTTTTCCGGAATGCGTAGCTTTTCCACAGGTTACGCGCCCGAACACGCTCACGCATGTCTCTGTTCTGTTCCAGCCAAAGCTGCTCTGGTGAAATCACCCGTTCAGCAATGCAGCAGCATCTCGCTTTCAAGGATCTGAAGTCCAGCCTTTACCTGCACTGCGCCTGCTGCCTTTAGGGCCTCCAGACAGATATAGATCGATATAAATTAAATATGCGCATTTAGCAGTCAGGCATTCGTATGTGCTTGAAACTGACAGGCTGTATTTCACCTTTTTTGTGCTGGTCAGCAGTAAATGAAATATTGGCTGCGATGATCTGCCAGTATTGGTCCTCTTTAATGGTAGTGCACGTGTGTGAGTCGTATAGTCCTGTATAAGGAGCGTCAGAGTGCAGGCCCAGTCAGGGTTATGCTTGGGGGCATAGCAAGGAATTCTGAGCCCCCTGATAACATGTCATCTTACGCACCCTCACTAGATTTTGCCAGTGGAGGTGGGTTAGGGGACGCCAAGGTAGATTGGGAAAAACATGCCTGTTTCCTCTCCCGGTGACGGCCCGGGTTAATGTGCATGACGGGGCGGACGGCGCTGCTGATCCTACTCTGTTTGGTCTCCGCTTCCCAGAGTCACAAGTACATCATCCAGGCAGAGGTGCTGCATAAAAGCAGGTCACAGTACGAGAAGGCGGTGGCTTCACAAGAGAAGGACTGGACGACAGGTATGGAGAGCGCCGCCCACTCAGCCTGTCACATGGTGTCTTGGCCCCGCCTCCACGATTCGCGTCGCGGCTAAGGCTTAGCGAGGCCTCACGCCCGATGACCCTCTCCATAACGAAAGCCTTGTAAAACTGGCACTTTGCGCTCGTGTAATGTGGGTATTAAACATGGAACCAAAGACGGCTGGAAGATAAATACAGAAAACAATAACACAAATTAAAAACTACAGCCAGGGGGTGTGCAGGAAATGATCGCGTAAGTACACAATGGTAACCAAAATATAAACTGAAGATTATGAGCATGACAATGGAAAAAATGAAAAATGGAAGCAGGCAGGGGAGAGAAAGGATAAATGGCACTTTTAACAAGACAGTGTTTTTCTGCTGGATAATTGCAGGATTTGAGCGAAAGAACATACCCCTGCCCACTGAGTCATGAGTCTAAACATATTTCTTAGAAATTAGAATTGAAAATATTTGGACGTGTGGTTTAAGTTACTTTCCAGGAGAACCGTTTGACCATTAACTCAGTCAGTATCTGACTGCTCTGCACGGGCAGTAGCGCTTTAGATTCAGGACCTTATGGCTCCGGGTCTGATCCCTTATCATTAATTTCTTCTTTATATATTCATATAATTTCTTTAAAAACATTGAGCAGTAATTATAATAATACGAACTTCAGCCTAATTCACCATTAGCTCATATTAAATGTCATATCAGTTGCAGACCTGCCCCGTAACCCGTGACATTATTAAATAAAAAAAAAAAAAGAAAACTAACTCCCCATTGGTGGAAAGTGGTTGCCTGCGCTTCATTTTCCAACGAGCCGCCAAATCTGGGTCAATAAAGAGTCAAATGAGGCTGGCTCCTGTCCCCTTAGTGCCCCGGGAATTATTTCGGAAGGAGCTGAAATCAATATGCTTTTAATTGAAAGGGCCTCGGAGGCGCGGCAGAGGCCGGTGACGCTCACTTGGCGCGGCACGGCGGGGGGGGAGGGGGGGCGGCTTCCGCGGGCAGAGCTGAGCTGCGGCCTCTCGCCACCACACAGCGGCAGCCGCCATCGCCAGTCACGGCCTTACCCAGCTCACCGGCCCCTAAGCATGTGTTTCAGCCTGAAATGCTGGTCGCTACGGCGACGGGTTTTCCTGTATAGATGACCAGCCCCAAAAATGATATATGTAACTTAGACGTCTGTATGCAAATATTGTCATGCGTGCAATCAGAGATCATGCATTTCTAAATTGACTTTTTTTTAAAAGTCACACTTTCTAAAACCAAACATATATATGCTTCAGACATTTATTATCCATATTAATATGATTTAACATTTGTTAGCTTAATAGGTTCCTTCACGGCTCACCTTCGTAAACATTAGGGGCCAGATTTACTAAGCAGGGCTAATTAGTGTGAGGCAGCAACCAAAAAACAACTAAAACAAAAGCACCGGTAGCAGTGGCCAGTTCTGTAGGTGATCTACTAAAAAGGCACAAATATATGAAGCCAGGCGCAGTTTGTTTGCTTAAATAATGACCGAGCCGATCTACCAAGAGCAGCGCAGAATACGACACGCCTTTTTGCTTGGTTCATTTAAATACTGTCCTCCCTCGTATGTCGTGCTTTGAAAGGGAACTCCCACAAATGCACATGCAATATGGCCAGTCGCAAAATTAACTGTCAGCGCCTCCCCAATGCTAGCTATTCACTATGTGTCCCTAGTAAATCCCGACAGTACTATGTTAACGCCAAAAGAGTAAATCTGGCCCTAAGTATTTTACAATGATGTCGTAGTGAGATGTAAGCAGGCTCCTGCATCAGGAGAACCTGCTTTGGTATCTACACAGAGCAACAGTGCCACCTAGTATAGCAACGCGTGGAAGCCGTTCACATATTGTGGTTGTACTCAGTGGATTGGGTCAGTATTGCCCTATACAGACAGCCGGTTCCTGATTTATGAGGAGATAATACATCATCGGTTAGTGTAGCTTTGTCATGTGACTGTGGCAGCTCACTCAGAGAGTTTGCAAGTGCGGAGGGACACACATACTCAGCCGAAGCGCTGCTTATTACAGCCATTGTGGAGAAGCAGGAGGAGCAGGTGGCGGCAGCGAGCACGGAGACGGCGAGCGGCGAGGGGCAGAAGGCCAGCACTCCCAGATCCAGCCGCAGGACCAAGGAGAAGGAGAAGAGCAAGGCCGCTCCGAAGGCAGGTCTCAGGCAGGGCAGCCAGGTCAGTCTCTGCGGACGCAGACGCACAGCGCACAGTGATCGCCGCGTCCCCGCTCACCACCAGGCGAGGGCGTAACGTCGCAAGGGCCCTTTAAACCGCCACACATCTGGCCGATCGTCACCTCCTCTGTGAGAAGCTAATGAAGGGCAAAGTTAAGACTGATGCATTAAAACCTGTTTTTTGTGTCTCCTATTTGTATGACTCCTATGCTAATACTCTGGATGTCTTCTTCACAGCAAAGCATCTAAATAGCTGTGAAAAAAATGCTCAGTTATATGGTGAATCCATAGGTGCAGGCTGATTCACTGACAGGTGACATATGCAGGCTGAGCTACATGCTTAGCTAGTTAATAAGCTCATGTGGCTTCAGCAAACCATCACCAATCAGTTACAGAATTTACTTGGTTTATTCCACCTGAACCCCCCCCCCCATTTACTCTCTTGGCATCTCCCACAGTTACCGAAATTATATCTCTAGCTATAGGTGATGGTTTCCACAGTGAAGGTCCTGACCGCTTTCCTCAAAGGCCCTGAACCGAATGGGTGGGCTCTCTTTGTTGTGCCGCTGCCCACGGCAGATCCTGGACGTGAGCAGGCCCCAGTGGAGCCTCCGCTTTGTGAGCGATCAGAGCGAGGCCGACTCCGTCCAGGTCAGCAAGGACACGGGGAGAGCGGACGAGATCAAGGCCATGAAGAAAGCGTGGGAGGCGGTGGACCCGGGCCGGTCCCTCAAGGTGCCCCACCATGCCTGTTCTTAACACGTTGGTGCCTGTGTCTTACTGACCGGACCACATCCTGCTATCAGCCGCCTCCTCCGGGCCTTTCCATTTACACGCCTTACTGGATATGTGTCACACTGCTGTGCTGTGTTCTGGTTCCAGGCACAGCAAGTCCGTCTTCAGTTCATCAGCAAACACTTGGGCCGGGGGGAGGCTGGAGAGACTGTGGATGAGGAGGCCGGTGCAGAAGGTGTGGAAAAAGAGTCTGTTAATAATCTGTTACTGTCAGGGGTTTAATTGTTAGGCTACCATGTCTCCAAGTACACCAATAGGAAATATAAAATAAACGTGCAGTACTGAGCACAAGTCTTAGGCAGTCAAAGAAAATGTTTAAGGCTGTTTATCTGGGTAGTACGTGCAGGGGCGCCGTAAGGGGGAGGAAAGCTAGGACGATTCCAAGGGCCCCTGAGTGACAGGGGCCCTAAAAAATTAGGAAAATGACTGGATTGGTTTGGACTGGGGGTCCTAATATGATATGCTTTCATGGGGCCCAAAATCTCTAGCAACGCCCCTGAGTACGTGTATATTTGCTCAGGAAAAAAAATACAATTTAACATTAGAAGATATGCAAATAAACAGTAACGTTAAAAAATAAACAAGAATTTCTCCTGTTCTCCAAAAGGCAATTGATATCATGTTGGATGGCTACAGTAGATGAACTCCACTCAACATGGCACTCCACATATGGTTGTTAAATTTCCCTACAAGCTCAATTTATTAACAAACCAAATGAGTTAAATGAGTCAGTGAGGTTTTGTTTTAGCCAAAGTAAGTTGGGTTGTGTTCAAGTCAAAAAATGCATAGGTATATTGGACAGTTGCTGTAAATATTGGGGTGATTTTAGGGGAGGTTTTGAAGTGGCCATGCCGATACTCTTTGCGAAACATAATATCATAGCTTTACACCAAAACACCAAAAGCATCATTTTCTTTGACTGCCTAGGACTTTTGCACAGTAGTGTACATAAAAATACAACAACTAAATAATAAAATATTGACTTTCGCCTGATCATTTCCACCTGGTTTTTGTTAGTCTTTGTTTAAAGGACAACATTTGTTAGCAGTTAACGTGTCTGTTGTGGTAGCATTGCTTAGCATTGCTTAGCATTAGCGTCTCCGGTTCCAGGTGTAACAGGAAGCAGAAAGTTTTCTCATATGAGGAATGATGAGTTCCTCTCATCCTTAAGCATTAGGTGACCTAGAGAGGTCAGTCTCCTGTTGCAAAACTTTCCGATTTAAAATGCATCTGTGGACTGTATTCAGAATCGTTTTGTCTTTTTCTCTGTTCAGTCAAGTTGAGGCTCGTTTTAGAGGTGAAAATTAAAGGTGTTTTTTAACCTTTCCAGCAGGCGCCCCAGATGTTCTTCTGAGTCCCTCCTCGACAGACGTGGTCCGGCCCTGCCAGACAGATCCACCCCAGCCCTCTGCCCACACACCCGTAGCCGTCACGCCCTTCATCGGCTCCGATGTCCTCTCTGACAGCTGGTGGGTCGCCCTCAAGCGAATGATTACGAAGATGTTTACCTTGGCGTCATCGCTGAGCACTTATCCAATACTAACCGCGCTCAGGGAGGGATTTTAGACTCTGATGGAAGACAAGGGGGCAGTTAGCGGGCTAACATGGCATGCTGGAAGGCGGAGGAGGCCGACATTGGCCTTCCTAAGCAGCCTCACCGTCTTACAGCGCTCACAGTTTCCTGCACCGAATGAAGCATTTATAAAACCTGTTTTACAGTCACGCTCAGCGGTGTCATGATTAGTCATCCTGATTTCTTGTTGCCGGCTCCACTCAGTACATAATGCCGGATTCCTACTTAATATATTGAGCTCCTATGTCAGCACGGCGTCTAGCGAAACCTCTTCTGTCGGGCTTGATAAACACCACCATTCCATGCACGTCAGCAGCTCGGCACTGTAAATTACATTCCCAGCTGGGCTCTTTGTCTCTCCTGCCCGGGACCCCCGCGTTCCCGGCCGCTTGTTTGCCCTCGTTTAACGAGACGAGCGTGCCATTGCTGGGAAAACGGTTAGATGTGGTGCCCCCTGTCAGTGCAGCTGGGATGTTCGTGTGCTGAGCGGCGGGATAATTACTGCGCCGGTGGACGCAAGGGAGCTTGGGATGCGACGTTCAGTCCTGCCGCATCTCATGACTGGCGATTCATGGCCCTATAAAACGGTGAAGGAGCGTGGCGGTTTGCAGCATCAGCACCACGACACTGTGCTGCTTTGTGTTACCCTGCTGCCCTGAGAATGCAGAAATGCTGACCGGCACGGGACTGGTAGTCCAGAGTCCTGGAAAAGCTGTTGTACCTTTGAACGGGGCAAATAACCCAGATCACTTCATTAAATCCATTCATCCATTAATCTTCCAATGCGGTGCAGAGTTGAGGGAGATTGTAACCCATCCCAAGCAGGAGGGGGCACAAGGCCTGAAGCATCCTGGAAGGGATGCCAGTCCATGGCATGGATTTCAGTAAAAACATAGACATGTGAACATAAAAGAAAATGGTAATAGTGGCGTAGGTGCGATCTCATCAACAGAGTGCAGCCACAGTATTGTACATGTTACACTGTGTGCTCGACCAAACACCTGCACAAATACGTAAAAGAGATAAGGAGCACCCCTGGAAAACTCATGGCGATGCACTCTAACCCACATGCCGGTCTTGTGGAAGTGCGTCCTGTTCCAGAACGCCATGGCGTGCTGCGAGGGAAGGGTGTGCCGAAAGTGGAAGCCGGCTGTCCCGGGACCTAACCATGGAAGTCCTTCTGCTTTACCAGCTGCGTTAATGGGATAATATTTGGGTCTATTAATTAGAGAGCTATTTCGGGTGGAATGAGCTGGGGGCTCCCAGGGGGTCTCCCCTCAATGTCCTTATCTATCCGTCTAATGACTACTGACACCACACCATGGGCTATTAGAGGAGTCAGATAAGTGCTCAGCATTTCACCTTTCCCTATTACAGAGGGCTGGGATTTTATCAGCCACTCTGACGCTGTGTCTTAATGAAGGTCAATCTAAAAAAAAAAAGGAGCCTTTTCTTTAGGTGGTAACAACTTTTTTCTAGAGCTGGTCTCCTGTCGAAATGCCCTGGGGTACTCACCGGAACATTTGTGTTAGCTCTGAGTAGCTCTGTGTTAAAGTCTGCGAAAGCTATGGGAGAATTCTGCTTGTAGGAATATCTGATATAGCGCTGAGAAAGGTCTGGGATTCGTGGTATGGGTACACAAACCAGTTATTTGTTTTTTTTTGTCTTTTTAATCAAAATTCAGACACGTTTCTTTACCAGATACATTGATTGAAGTTCTACGGCTCTGGAAATAGATCAAGTTCAGTGTCTTGCTCAGGGGTAAATCAGGAGTGGACCTGTAGAGCTCCTAGGCATACAGGTAGTTCTAAACTTCTTCTCCAATACATTTTGACATTTAAAGGTAATTCGACACAGATAGATGTAGATGTAGAGTAGAACATTTTTGTGGAGGCACATCCGCGGTCCTCAGCAGGACCTTGACAAACCGCTTGGTGTGCGGCATGACCAGAGCGTGTATCTACTCTGTGCCTGAAGGCAGGCTGAAGCATGCGAAGCTTCTCGCCCGATTAGGAAGCCCGGGGCAGGGGAGCACAGGAAGCCCAAGGCAGAGCACATCCAGAGCTTCCGGCTGGTCCGTGACATCATCCTCGAGCACAGGAGGCAGGAGAAGGACAGCCGGAACGCGTTAAAACGGAGGCAGGTGGAGATGTACGATGAGCTGCAGGTGAGTAGGGACAAGGGACGCTTGTCTCGTGTGTGTGGGCTGGACGTGTGAACATGACTCTGCTGGATCTGTGGATGTCATGCACTGACTGCTGTCATCAATGTCGTAAATGTCAGCAGAAAAAGTTTGTCTTACTCCCGGTAATCAGGAAGCGCTTCCTTGTTGAACGTACAGGACTTCCGGGCCTGGGCTTGAACCTGGAGTGTGTGCATCACTTGCCCCCCCCCCCCCACACCGCTACAAATCACACACAATCAGTGAAACCATTAATGGAGACCAGTGATCAGACAAATGAGGCTTCTAGCCCCATAGCAGATGGGATTTCCACGTGCCTTCAACCACCAACTGGCGTGACCCTATGGGAACCAATGTAATAAGCAGCAAAGTGTACACTGATCTCACCCCGTCCAGGCCTCATTTCCCCCATCATTAGGCGAGGCCCAGCTGCACTCAGTGAATCCCCCTGGTCTGTCTGTGCAGATTCTCCTCAACGAGCAGCGGCTGAAGACACTCAAGGCAAGGGAGGGTTACTGGAGCCCACGGCGGGAGGCGGAGCTGAGGCAGAAGGAGGCAGAGCTGGTCACGGCTCAGCAGGCGGAGCCCAGCAAGGGCCCGCCCTCAGCTCAGCCCCTCCCCAAGAGCACCACGAGGGCCAAAAGCGCAAGCAAGAGGAAGTAACACATCACAGGAGCCAGGGTCCTGCAGGGAAACTTTGTCCAGACTTGAGGATGATGCAGCAGCTCGGCCATGTCAAACCTACACTTTGTACACATTGCCTTCTGCTTTGCTCTCTTCCACTCTGTCCTTTAATAGGATCCCTTGTTATGCTCAAAACAAATACAGGTACTTGCCCAAACCCTCCACTGGGTAGCTGCCAGACCCAGTTCGTACACCTGCTGTCTGAGTCTGACCCGCCCACCCCTTTAACACCCATCCCTTTAAGGGGAAGCATGCCCCCCCCCCCCCCCACCTTTGTAATGATGTCGCAAACCCCAGCTTGTCTTCGGCACCCAGCTGAGAGTGATTTTGTTTCTGTTTGTTTTCGTCCTTCCTCACAGGAAATAACAAGAGGGATCTTTTGTTCCGGTGCTGTATTGTTTTGACTTTCATACGTATGGCATGATATTATCTCTGCCTCATACTTGAAGGTCAAGCAATCAATTATATTGACGAATCGATGGAGTCCAAACCGGCCGCGGGCTGAGAGGGTGCCCCGGGGCATCGATCGGCCGTGTATGCCGCTGGCCTCCGCCTGCGTCTTTGTCCCGTTTGCTGTTGGTTCTCCTGGGGCCCAGCAGCGCCTGTTGTTCTGTTCCCAACCACCCGTGCTGAGCTGAAAGATCTCGCTGAAAGATCTCACCTGTGGAGCGTTACAGTGGTTAGATGCAGGGTAGGTTCTGCAAATACAAGTTTCCCTGGCCGAGGGGATCAGCTCGCTCCTGTATACTGTAGGCAGCTTGTGGCGTAGTCGAATATTTAATTCATGATTTTTTTTTTTGTTAATATTGTGGGGGAGGCGCTCAGGCTTAGTAGCTTCAGTAAAAAGAAACCCAGGCACCTTTGCAGATGTGCAATATTCTGAAATTAAAACATGACAATGGTGCCATCTAGTGGTGTTTAAAATTATAGACTGTGTCATTCTGTCTTAACTCCCTTTTTGTCAGTCTGTGCTGCTTTTATTCATCTGCTTCAAATCCACTTGTAATGTTCCTATTAAGTCTTTGAGCAATTCTAGTTCACCGTAATGAGGTGCACAATATAGAAATAAACTGAATTCAAATGAACTGTAACATTTTCCCCTCATTTGCATCCAGTAGAATCCATCCTCAGTCAGTTTGAGGACGTTAATTGCCTTCAACTAAGTCCAGCCAGGCAGATACCTTCACAAATATACAAACGTCCAGCACTCGCGACGACAAGGTGTAGAGACTCCCATCAGCTTTGTGATCTATGCCTCTATCAGAATTTAAGTAAAAGTCATTGCAACTTGCTCCTGTTGCACTGCCAGGAACTGATTGGCTAATTAATTGATAATGGGCGCAAGAAAATCACAGTAATAGTTACAAAATTTTAAATACTAAATTTGCCCTCAATTATTTAATTACTTGAACCTTCCAGCATATCATTTAGTCATTCAATTCAGTAATTAATTTTTTTTAAGGAGCTTAGTTTTGCTAATCCTTTCACTATTCACGCAACTTAAAATGAAAATAAATTAGTAATGAACCTAATTTAGAATACTGGCCTTTTAGTGACTTCAGTTGTTGCTGGGTTAAGAACAGATATAAATAAATGTTAAGCACAACTCGTCATTTATTGTTGCTCAGTGTAACAGGAATGGGGAGAATCTGTAGAACCATATATTTCCTTTCATAATTACAGTTATTTGAAACGCGAATTTGGTTTCACACGGCTGGAGAATGATTCTCAGGTCCGGCAGCCAGCTTCCCGAGCCATGGCTCACGCGGTGAATTTAATCTGCATCTCAGTCAAAGCCGATTAATTAAAAACTCCAGTGAGATGAAAGTCTGCCTCGTGGCTTGTGGCACTCTAAAACCTGGGGTGGCCAAACTTTACGAGAAACAGCAGTTCGCTTTTCTGAAGCCATTAAGTCAAAAAGTTAATTTAATTACCGGGAATGTAAAGTTTAAATCTGACATGTCATTTCTCTCTTCACCCTGATCATCAGAGCCCGCCGTCTATCCGTCTGTCTCTTCCCAGTGCCGCAAGCAGGTGGGGTGGGGTAGGGTGGGGTGGGGGGGTGTTAGCTGATGCACTGTGCTCCGGTTTACACCCCTGCGGGGTCGCTTCCTTAGTCATGCCGCAGTCGCACGGCACCCGGCACGAGAGCCAAACAGCCCCCTGGCACCCATATACCAGGCCTACGGGTCAGTCTGCGCTTGTCCTCCATTTTGGCAGAATGCTGGCAGTTATTGGCACCTCTGTTGGAGCAGTGGTCACACTCAGATGTGTGCCATGCTCTGTGCTGTGACAGCCAGCCTGCAGCTGGAAGGAGAGAAGGGTGACGTCATGTGCAAAGCGCCTCTCTCTCTCTCTCTCTCTCTCTCTCTCTCTCTCTCTCTCTCTCTCCCTCCCTCTCTCTCTCCCCCCTATTAATCATCTAGTCCGCATTGACATACATGGCCACTTCCTTCAGGGGTGCTGTGCTGGTCGTGGCTTTCCATGTTTCGCATGATGGGGGGAGCAGAGGTGGAATGCCTTCTCATGAAGGCCAGGCCGTGTCTCCCAAGCACTATGTATCTCTACGGGCGTTAGCTATTGGCTACTGGATTCTGCACCCCTGGATGATAGTCACGGCACCAGTGGACGCTGAATCCAAGCGTCTCCGAGGCCTTTCGCCACACGCTGGCCAGCTGTGGTCTTCACGAAGGCAGCCTCCCTAGCGGGAAGGATCATTAGCACTCAGTACTGACTGTCCAGCTGCTGCGGCCTGGCCACATGGGCACAGAGGTGACCCAAGCTGCAGCTGGGTACAGCTTTGGCTTGGGGATCCTGGCGATGATCCTGCCGATATCCCTAATGCCTTGCAAATTTCATTTAATCTTATTAATTTCACATTTATTGAGCAGATGTTTCTGTCTAAAGTGACATACAACTGAGGAAAGCTTGGGACCTCGTTGGGAGTATGATTACTCTGCCAGCCACAGGATTTGAACCCACAACCTTGTGAACACTCACTGTAAACCTGCTGAGCTACCCATTACACATCTGACCCCTGTCCCTGCCCAGCCCTAGCCAAAGGGGTCCCACTCCAACCGATCTTTACCCCTGTCCTTGCCAAGCGCTGACCAGAGGCGTGACAATGCAAACACGCCTGCCGTTCTTTGCGTCTCTGCAATTCAATAGAAGGCCTAATTTGCCCTGACCGCCACAGACCTCGAGGAGGGTATTTTCAGCTTCTTTTGTCTCGAGGCGTGTCCTTCTGGCCAATCGCATCCCCAACACCATGCTGTCCTGAGGTCCCCTTGGTGACGTGAGACGACGTGAAATGGGGAAGAATAAGAAGAAAACAAGCAAATACACCCATACCTTCATTTCCCTGCTTGTAAGAATCCAAGAATTAAATATGAAGCTCTTTATTTGCAGCCAAATACAGTATTTGCATAAAACTACTTCCCTGCTGTCAGTTCCTGAAAATGGCAGACTTCAGCATATTTACATCACGGTGAGAATGGAGTGATCTATGTAAGAGAAACACGTCTTTGATTGTGACGTGCCGCCCATGATAATGCATCAGCAATGATGGAAGTAGATTTGTGGTGCTATAGCAATCTTGCTGGGAATTTACAGCACTGTTTGTCTGCTAAAGATGGCCGCCCTCCTTTTTGCTGTGTTGCATGAGTGGAAGTAGTGACAGATGATGGAAAATGTACTTAGATTGGGGGACTCTGCCAAGTCAGCAGGGTTCTGGACCGCAAAGCGTACGTCAGTCCGTGAGCTGGGGGAACCACGTGCATTGGCGTACTGGGGGAACCAACCGTTGATTATTTACACGAAACAGCACTGAACATTTTAGCAATTCAGCTTATGTACCTTGTTCCCAACCTTCTTATGTCCAGTTTACTACATTGGGGGAGTCCAAAATAAATATTTGCTGGCAAGACCCATGGGGGGGGATACAAATTATATGCAAAAATAGGGAACAAATTGTGTATTCTCATGAATTATTGTCACACCCACACTCTAAATCAGGGGTATTCAACTCACGGTCCTCAAGGTCTGAGCACTGCTGGTTTTCCAGCCTTCCTTTACCTGTCAGTCAGGTGTGAAGCCTCTGACCAATCAGAATCAGTAATTATTAAACTAACTAACTGGGAGAACTGAAAACAAGGCCTGGATTTGGAATTTGAGGTCCAGATTTGAAAAGCTCTGCTGTAGTGTGACCAACACCTTTCACCTAGCCATTCATGGACTTCAACCAGCCTGCCACATTACAGGGCAAACTTGGAAGGATGTATGAGATACAGCTCCCAGTGTGTCCAACATGCTGGATTACAGTTGCTTGTCTGTGTGAGAAGAGCCTGTTTTCTGAGAAGCAAAGACGATCTTCATAATCTGTTCAGCCTCAAGCAAAGGAGACTGAGGGGGGACATGATCCAGGTCTATAAGATTCTAACAGGTTTGGATGCTGTTCAACCGAATAGTTACTTCAGCATTAGTTCAAATACAAGAACTCGTGGCCATAGGTGGAAATTAGCGGGAGAACATTTCAAACTGGATTTAAGGAAGCACTTCTTTACACAGCGTGTAGTCAGAGTATGGAATAGTCTTCCTGATAACGTAGTGCAAGCTGAATCCTTGGGTTCCTTTAAATCAGAGCTAGATAAGATTTTAACAACTCTGAGCTATTAGTTAAGTTCTCGCCAAGCGAGCTCGATGGGCCGAATGGCCTCCTCTCGTTTGTATAGTTCTTATGTTCTAATGTTCTTATGTTCTTAATGAGCAAGCGATTCAGTCCGCAAAAGACTTCATGGCGACGTCGGACGCGGGTAGGGATGGTATAGCCAGAGCTTTGCGGCATTAATGCTGGGGGTGTCACAGTGAGTAGGCTAGAACCCTGAATGTGGGGGGCACCGTCTGAGGCAGGAGCAACACAAAGAAGCACACCTGTCAACATACTGTCCCACATGTTTAAATGCAGATGTGTCCGAGCGGATCACTGTCCCTGCAGACGGAACAGGTGACAGCTTTGGCAGGGGGGTGAGGGCACCATCTTAATGTGACTGCCCTCGTCCAGCTGAAGCCGCTCAGTCGCGGACTTGTGCTGAAGCTCGTTGTCAAGCTCGCAGCTGAGAAGCCCTTGAGCCACTTTTAACGAGATTCGGCACGATCACATGAGATCACTGTTTCCCAACCCGGTCCTCGGGGACCCAGAGTCGGTCCATGTTTTTGCTCCCTACCAGACAATTCACATTTTTGCTACTGGGAAGTAGCAGTGAGCAAAAACATGGACTGTCTTTGGGTTCCCGAGGACGGGAATAGGAAACACTGCACTAGATTAAAGCCATTCATTATCTGATGGAGGACATCTGTTTGTGGTATCTAGGGATTCACTAATGACAAGCGTATATTAATTCAGTAAAGCATACTGAAAATGTAAATGTCCAAATTTTTATAGGGACATTACCAAGTATTACATTCATTATTTATTTGTTTAATAAATGCCTTCACCTAAATATGATGAAAGTCTGCTTACAGTTATAGGGTGGTTGTATTTTGACTGGCATCACTTTCAAGGTGAACCCTGTCTTGTGCGCTGTGCTTCCCGGAATAGCCTCCAAGCTCACTGTAAACCCTGAAAATGATAAGAGCTTACGGAAAATGGATGAATGGATGGCATATTTGGAAGCTTGAATCAATCTTGCAAGTCTTCTCCTGGGCTTTGAACACTCACCGTTTGGTCAGAAGAACAGTTTCTCGAACTCTGTACCATGGACAGACCCTCGGCATTTTAACTAAAGCAGGAAAGACACTAATTTTGCTGCGGCTTCTGGGAAATCAGAAAAAAAATGTAATTATGCAGTGAGTTTTGTTATCACTGTGACCTCAAGACGAGATTACAAATGTACAGTACGTGGGATAAGGAGTGAAAATGAACATACATACAGTATACAAAACTCCATCCATCCTCAATCCACATACCCTGGACGGGGCCCTGGGGGGGCCGGAGCCTGTCACAGGCAGTAGGGGGCTCACAGCTGGACTGCACATATATTATGTGCCACTTCTTATAACTGTTTATCTTTGGAGTGCTGGAAGAAAT